CTTCTGCCTTTTGTAACAATAAGATATATATATATATATATATACTGTACTGTATATATACTGTATACCACCTGTGTAACGTATAATATTACCTATACCTATAGTACACTGCAGATGTATAGAGGCGATGCGAGATTTAATCAATGATATTTAAATGCAAAGTTTGTTGCGTGATGTGCTAATATACACGTACGTGTATTCTCTGGATTGTGCATGCACATTGCCTATACCTATTAATTTATTTGTATATTGGCGTGATAAGATTTTATACTTGGGGTACACTTAGTTTGCAATAAATAAGAAAGTGGGTACCTCTATATTATGTATGGGTGCGGATAAAGTTATAGTTGATCTTGCTTGTATATACATTTACACATGAAATGATCTCTTTTTTTTATGAATAAATAAAACTGAAATACGATTGATTGTACATTTTTTACGTGTATAACAAAACAAAAAAAAATATATAAAAATGTACATTGTACATCGGGTACTTTATGTGGGAATCATTCGTCCAATCAGCAAAACCACTGCGATTAAAGAAAAAATTTAATTTCATACATAGATACGGTGAATTTACCTCTATTGTGTCATCCAGCAGCTAACGTGTACTGAACTATAAGGAAATCGTTTAACAGCAGCTTGACTTCTTATAATTACCTACGTCTGGCAATTAAACTTTTTTCACTTCACTGGTGAATCCTAATAAAATGTCGTAATCTAGATACTACTTTTGTATATTTTCTTTTGCTAATATACTTGGTGCTTTGTAAAACTCTAATATAAATTGTAAATGTCTCACACATGTTCCGTCAATTAAAAAAAAAAATGACGGAATGAAGTGCTTACTTTTAACACTTACTAAGAGTCTCTTGCTTCACCCGCATGACGTACACACTTACCGAGCGAGTCCCTTTTTTTCCCCTATTATTTTTCTCCAAGAACTCATTTCACACTATATACTACCTTTTTTTTTTCAGTTCTCGCGTAGTCCCCCCTATATTATGCGTGCTTCGCTTCTGATTTTCTTCTTCCCCCTTTTGTGTACGTACATGCACGTATACGTATATCTTGCGTTCCAATTTTCATTTTACGCCGACACTTCCACATCCTTTCCCACGAGTGGAGTACCTACATACGAGGATTGCGCTCCTGCTGCTACAATTTCAAAGCGATTGCGCCGCTGCTGTGCTTGTATTTACGTGTATATTGTACACTCGTGTGTACTGCCGGGACGATGGCGAGCCCTATTCCGAGTACCTGTGCTTTTAACTACTTTTTCTTTCCTTTGGCTTGTACAACACACTCCTTCTTTCATTACTTAACATCGCGATAAGAAAGCGAGAAATGCGATTAAATCAAGTGCTGATGCGATTCACGAGTCAAGTTGATTATTACTCCGATGTCGTTGCTGTTACTACGAGCCAACAATTGTATTTAATTTTCAAGCTATTGAGTTCGGTCTGTACACGTGCTTTGAGGCGATGAGGTCAAGAGTTTGCTGTTTGTCATTGCGTCGCAAAAAGTTTCAATACATTTTTCTACATTTTGCGATTATTGTTTCGAATAAGCTATTTCAGCAGTACAAACGGCGTTTTATTTTCGTTTATTTTTTCATTTTAATTAATTCGAACACGTTAATTTGTAACATTATGGTTTATGATTATTCGCCAATTAAAATTTGATACGTGCATACAGGAAGGAGTTTTTTTTATGATAATCACGAAAGCTAGCGTTAATTGCTTTATTTAAGAACATTTTTAATTATACGCCGTAAACACCGCGATGAAATACGCACTGTACGAACAATAATTTTCCTCATTAGAAATTCAAGGTAACAGATGTAATCGAATCGAAAGTTGTGAGTAAATTCAGTGGGTAATTTTAAGATTATTGTAAAAAAAAATATATATATACCCACCAAGACTCCTTAGGCGAAACAATTGTTGTTACTGTTGCAACTTTAACTTGGTAAAACAATGCAAACATGGGATTATTGGTTCTAAGAATAGAATAATAATAATGATTTTGAGCCTATCGAATGTATATCTTTCCATAAAACGCCTCGGCGCTACTTCAGTTAAATTTTATCTATCCACACTCTAAAAATATCTTAATTTTCCATTCAAGCTCGAGGATTGAATGGTAAAACCAAATATCGAAAATGTACATTAATCTAGTGTAGATTGATGAGCACGTTTAACTTACGACAGACAACCTAAATAAATTTTTACAACAAATTCTTTTAGGTCTTACATTCGACGAATAAATTTAAATTGTTTTTGATTCTTCTCCGATTACTTGTATACAATCCCAGTGCCCGTGTACCGACAGACATTCCTAACTCTTAGAGATTGCATATATTTTATGAAAAAATCGTGCCATTCAAGACGTGTTTACCAACAAGCCATAAAATATTTAAAAAATAAAAATAATAAATAATAATTATAGTATTAATAATAATAAAACCATAAATTTCAGTTCGGCCTTCGCCAGTTGGATCTGTCGCTCTTGTCGCAGCTGTGGTCACTTAACGAGTCGATCCAGGAGTTCCGGCAACTACTGCAGGAACAGGAGCAGGAGGATCGGGCACCCTCGCCATCGCCGAGCAGCGAGGAGGGCGACGACACGTCGTACGGTGGCTCGATTCAGCCGCCACCGCCTCCTCGTCGACCAGCCCCCAGCACGCCTCATCGGCACCAGCAGCAGCACCATCATCATCACCACCACCGAGCCTCGAGGTCGAACAGGAGCTCGAAACTCATGTCACCGAGCGACGAGTCGCCGTCCAGCGAAGAGTACGGCGCCATCTGACTCGGCTGTGAGCTGTTGTTGTTGTAATAAAGCATAGGCTCGGTGGTCCAGGCGACGACGACGGTGTTGCTGTTGATGCCGCTGTTGCTGCTTCTACTGCTGTTGTTAATATTGTTGATTCTCGGTGCTCTGTACTACAATTAAGATTTTTTTTTTTTTTTTTTTTCTCGGAAAATCAATTGTTGTTGATGCTTGGCCTCTGCGGGTACTTTGACGCTTCTTGAGTGGTTGCACGATATCGCTTTTTTTTCACGCGTGTCTATGTAAATATGAATAATTAGTACAGNGCTAATTGTCACAAGCACCAAAACGCCGAATATATAAATAACAAGTTTAAATTCGAAGTTCTATTAGTTCCAAAAAGCTCATTAAAAAAACTCGCGAGGGAGTGCTTCTGTTTGTGTCTATAAATATGTTTTGGCTCCTAACTATTGACGTGTAAAAAAAAAAAAAAAAAAAAAACTTGATAACTCTTTCCTGTGCCCAGCATAATCGAGAGGATAGCCATGTCGTCGCTGCAGGGCCTGCCACCACTGCCACGCAGCCTGAGCGGCTTCAACCTCAACGGCGCTGGTCTAGTCGACGGCTCGGCACCCCCGCCGCCCGCCAGGTCGACCAGCAAGGCCAGCCAGCAGCGCTCTTCCAAGACGCCGAGCTCCACGAGCTCGCTCTCCAGCCAGGGATCCACGAGACCCTCGCCCCAGGGCCGACAGCTCACGACTCTCGACACCCAACTGGCCATACTCAGGCGGGAGATGGTAAGCGCCCCTTCTTACCTCTTTGTCGACATCATCGGACCCATGACGTTACTTACTCAATGGCCATTACTTATTTTCTTCAACGTCCACGTGCACACGTCGGCCTAGCTGGTACAATGTATTTTTATATTTCCTTCCCTTTAATTTCAAAAGGCTCGTTCAAGCCGATCGATCACGAGCTCGTTCGCGTGGATTGATTAATGTTCCCAACTGTGCCGTAATGGGTCACGGCGCTCTGTTATTTTCTCTCGTGTGCGCGGGCCATTATGTGCATGCCGGCTCTATAATGGCCGCGTGCAATTGCCCGATCGTTGTCTGTTTGCTCGGATAAGTGCATGAAAATCTTGTCGGATCTGTCGTGTAAGTGTACCCGCGAGAGACGTTTTGCTTGCAGGGGTTGTCGCACGCGTGGGTGTATCGTAATCGGGGGCCCCCGGTCGTTTAGTGTTACTCCGCTGCGCTGCGAAGAAATAAAAATCAACTTTCGAAGGTTGCTTGGACCAATGTACGACGGCAACACGCGCTCATGCCGACTTTAGAAAATGTATGATGAAAAGCCGCGAAAAGTTTATCCTCCCGCAGATACTGCAGCCGCGTGTGCACGAAAACCACAACTTGTTACCATTTCATTGTGTGTATGTACACCTGCTACAACCTGGCTGTGCGTGTGTAAGTGTAGATACTGGGTTTGTGTGGTACACGAGGTAGCAAAAATCAAGCGCAACTAACACGAACGTTGACGAAACTCGTGCACCGCTGCGAGGTTTTTTTTACATTTTTTACTTTGTTTGCTGTTGCAGAGGTGTGCGAGGGCCCCATTGAAAATCGATTTACATGAAGATTCATTCATTCTGCCTCTTTAGCAACAAAACGAGTTTGTCATGTCGCTTCATTAGCTCAAGACATCGGAAGCTAAAAAAAAAAAAAAAAAAAAAATAACCGTTTAATAGAACGTAACAGCACCTGCAGCGAATAATCGAAGAACGCGTTAATTCGCGAAAGCGAGTCCGCAGAAAAACCTTTGCCATTACAGAGAGGGAGAGACAAAGCAGTTATTACGATCAAGTATCGCTAATCGCGTGTAATAGGCCCGCGCTCCCGGGGAACAAAACGCCCCGCTAATTTCCCGCGATTCTCCGCGTTCGCCGGTGCCATTAATCAAATCCACGACGAGTACCTTCTATACACACGTAGCCGTATCGCGTTGCGTCATCGCCACGGCTCTTGTATACGGTTCGTACACGCTGCCGGATACGCGAATTATCTCGGAGAAAGAAAAACAACAAAAAAAAAAAAAAAACAAACGAACGATTACATCCCTGTATAGCTGGTACGGTAATAAGAAACGACGAAAGAACTGAGATACTAATTGCGCGCCCACCGCCGATACGGACCCATTAAGACCCAACTAATTCACCCATACGGGAGAGGATATTCCGCGAACAATATATGGTGTACATAACTACCGCGTGGATCCCGGGCATTAAGTGCAAAAAAAAAAAAAAAAAAAAAAAGTCACGAGTTGCAGCGAAGAAGAAGATAAAGAAGAAGAAGAAAAATTTATAATAAAACCATTTTACAGGATAGAAAAAAAAAAGCGTAGAACCTCGTACACGGAAAGGAGGCGAGGGTAATAGTTTCCTCGAAAGAGAAGCCTCCTCCTCCTCCTCCTCCTCTGCGCTTCTCTTCCGCGTGTTTCGTATATATACGTCTAATGCCTCTCCTCCCTTCATCGGCGCCGATATCGGCTTGCCCGCAGCGCGTTTTGTATACCTCGTATACCTGAGCGTGGGCGTGTTTATGCGCGTCTATCGTGGATATTCATCCGGCGATTTTATCCCCCATGCGAGTACACGATCGAGGAAGAGGCCGCGGCTGTTGTCTCGGTTTGATTCGCGCGGGATTGACTCGTTTGATTTTAGACGCAAGCGCCGTGTTTATGCCTTCCTCGAGAGATTTTTGCGACACGACGATTTGGATTACCGCATACGAAGATCGAGTGACAAAGTTTTCGTGGATACACTTTTTTTCCGCTGTACGGAGTCGCTCGTCCAGGCAAAAAAAAAAAAGAGCGAAACAATCGCAGTGCAAAGATCCTTTTGTCTATTGATTCGAGTATACTTACCAAACAATCGGCCGATAATTTTTACTCGACGCGCGGAGCCCGTCCTCCGCTACGCGAAAACAATAACATCCTCTCTCTCTCTCCCTTTATGCAAGACTGAGCACAAACACTGCCGACCAACGCAGGCCATGTAGATATACGAGGCGCGCAAGCAAAGGTCAGGGTCGAGCGTCATTAAGTTCCGCGTGGGTCGTCCTCCTCCTCGTCCATTAGATCCGCTCGCACGACGGCGTCTATATCAATGCACGCACGTGTATACCGATCCCGAGTGTGTACTTTTGTCCTTCCTTTTGCACATGTAAGTAATCACGGAGCAGGAGAGTCGCGCGTGGGTATTTTGTAAACGCATTATTCCTCATTTCTTTTTTACTCCTACTTACACCTGAATCCGGCTGGGCGCGTCAAACATTCGAACAAATATCACGTACGTGATCCTTTTCCCAAAGTCTAGCCCGAGGTGATACCAAATCGTGCCTCGTACAAATCGACGTGAAAGTCCCGCTCGAAGCGCGCGTCTCAAATTTATAATATCACGTCCCCTCTCGCGCTTGCGTATATATTATACGTATGTGTACATCTTAATTGAAAGTCGCCTCCCGAAAACAAACATCGCTCGCAGACTCGAGAAAGTAAAAGGGGAAAAGAAGACAAATCGCGCCGTGTACGATTTCGGGATCAAACGTCATTAGTGTATTTATAACTTTTTTGTGTATGTATTTATTATGTAAGAAAAATCATCACGATCACTCATTTAGCGCCGATAGTTTCATTTTAAGGAAGCGTTTGTATCCATAGTTAATGTACCTATAGTATACTTTTTTGAAAAAAAAAAAAAAAAAAAAAAAA